TCGGCGGCGGCCGTCTAGCATAAGCTTGACAGTGATGTTCTCCGGGTAGTCGAAACCCGAATCCTTGAGCTTGGTACGCAGCTGAATGGTGCGCTTAACGTAATCCTCGACGCGCTCATCGTTACCCTTCTTGAGGCTGCGTATTTGTGCGTCGTAGAGTAGCTGGTGCCCTTTCTGATTCTCGCTGTGGATCTTCTTCAGATATGCCCATCCAGCAGCTGATGTCGCGCACTGATCAATCTCCTGAAGGAACTTGTCGCCGACCATCATGATCAGCGCGGCCTTCGCCATTAAACCTTTCTCGACAGAGGTAATAGGAGCAGAGTTGACTACATCCCAATAACCATCCAGAATCAGGGCATTTCTTGCCCTCGGCTCCCATTGCGGGTAGTCGGCGATCGACTCCAACTTCGGGACCCGCTTCGATTGTTCGGCCATTTCGCAAATCCGGCTGTATGTAGCCTCCCTGCCTGCAGCCAGGCTCAAATGTACCAGAGCCGCTCTTATCCTGAGACTGCAATCCCGCAGTTGGCTGGTTCCGGCAGACCGCGACACTATCCTTGCGCGGGGCTCATAACCTGTTAACTAAGCAGCGAATACAGAGCGATCACCTCGTTATACGTTACATAGGTCTGGGATTAGAGCGAGGATAAAAGGCAAGACCCTGCCATAAATACAAAGTGTATCTCGGAAGTCCGCTCCAGAACCAGTACAGGTATCCCGCCAAACTACGATATGCAGGAGTTCTGGACGAGATATCAACATTACATGACGCTTTAGGACCTACGATATGCTTGTATTTACGCTAACAATATCCGGGGTTCGTGCCAGGCAGCTCGCGCTTCCTGTCTACCTTTAGCCATGTGCGCATCTGAATAAATCTACAGATTTGACAACAAGCTGAATTGCGTGCTGACGGGGCTGCATGGTGGCATGAAGGTAGGATGCAGCCGTCCTCCTGACAGGACGGCATTCTCTTCCGTTTCAACAACGATTGCCACTCTCATGTCCTAGATGGCATAGTACGTTCTCCGTACTTGCAACGATTTGAAGTAAAAACATGTGTTTCCCCCTTCACTATCAAAGATTCGAGTCAGCTCATGCGAAAGCATCCTTTTTAAACACCTTACATATGGATACTCGTTATGGGCGGTGCCTCAAAGATTTGCTGTACTTTTGATAGCTGTGAATGGGCAGCGGTGTCTAGCTGCCCGCTGCCTAAAGGATGCATGCACAGCAGGTGCGGCTGAGAAAAGCGCTAATCCAGCCACCAAACGGCATTCCGACAGTCTGACTGCCACATTACAAATGGTATTAACAATATGGATGGATGTTCTGCGAATAAAAACTCAAAAATGGCATGAGGGATTTGTGGGTTTTGCGGTTTTTTTTCAACTTCCAACTTAATCTTTGTTTTGGAGCTTTTGCACATATAGCAGCAAACATTGCACATTTTTGCTGGCGATGTACATGGCTGTACATGGCAACACCTGCACGCATTTCATGCTTTGACTAATGCACGTCGCTGACACAATTTCAGCAAAAAGGTAAGGGGTGTGAGATGGGCATGAGGACGTGCCGTTGGCACAGCAGCAGAAGCACAACAGTCTAGTTGTTTCATCGTGATCTTTGTCTATGCAAATGCCACCCGCGAGCCTGGCTTGGGGAAGGTGAACGGGTCCACAAGGATTCACCGGTGATACCACTTGCGCCATTAGTACCACAGGAGACTTCCCTGATTAGTACTGGCAGTACTCTGCACACCCGCAAAATCAGCAACTGATCAGCTTGAAGCAAGCACACATGCGGCACCTTGAAGATTTAGGTCCCGCTCCAGAAAGGTATATACGTGATAGGGTTCCGTGCCATGGCTGAGTTTTATTGTGCCAAACCAATACACAGCAAAAACACAAGCGCCGACAGCGGCGCAATTCATAGCCTCGCCTGTGTATGAGCGCAGCCTGCTTGTGTCGCATAGTTGCCATTCCTCGGCGAACTGTGCGTGAGCCCTGGGTTCCACGCGTCTGTTGAATGCGGGGAGCGCTGTTCCAGAGTAACGTCGGCTACGGTGGTACAATTTGCAGGCGGCAGGCCGGGGTACTTTGGCTTAACGCTAATGTAGCAGCCGTTAGGTTTAGAAATGAATGTACGGCCCAGACCTCAATGGTGCGCCAAAGCTAGCTTGGTTGGTGCAGTAGTAGCTAGGAATGGGGCTGTTCGCTCGTCTTTTCTGCGGTAAACTACGGAACCCAGCCTAAAAGTCATGGAGGAAGCCAAATTCAGGTCCTACACCAGACGGCCCATTTCCTCACTAACCCATAAGGCCTGTGCCGGCCTCCCATTACACTGGATCCTCTTACCCGTCTACCTCGGGCCCATCAGCCACCTCCTAGGCAGACCGCTCCGCCCGTCGCCCTTTTAACTTGTTCCCTCCCATATGTGCGCGACCTCCGCGAAAAAAAGAGACTTTGCCAGAAGGGCCGACCCGCCGGTCGGTATCTTGTTCCATCCCGAAGGTCGCCCAAACACAGATCCCATGAAGATTTTGCCTTGCCCGTTATCCCTTCCCTCCTATCCGTAGCAAGAGCGCATCAAGCCTCACGAAGTCAAGGTTTGAAGGGTTGCACACGCATCAGTGTCAAATGAAGCCAGCCAGCCAGGCCGCGCACTCCTGCACACTACACATGCTTCCGGTTCATATGGCATCTAAGGACTGGCTTCAAAAGCTCCAGCGCCAGTTCTGCCTTACCGGCAGATACCTTGACCAGTCACCGCCTTGACCTTCTCCAAAACGCTACGTCGGCCCAGGCTCATCATCATATCAACGGACCCACAGGCCCGCCATGCAAGTCCCATCGCCCTGATGTCTTCCAGCCGCAAAAGCTACGTTCCACGAATATGGTGCATGGCTGAAAACCTGGGACGGCTGCTGCACCCGCGCCCGCGCCAGCACCTGCCTTCAGCAACCCTGTGCCTGCGGCCCATGCGCTTGCAAAACCCCCTGCACCTTCACAGCAGCAAAAGCGCTTAGGTGAATCTCGATTACACCGCCACAAATGCGGGCCCAGCCTCAACGTCGATGTCGCCCATGCCCACGTCCTCCTCCTCCTCACTCTCGTCGTCGCCGTCCACCTCTGCATTGGCCGCCTCCAGTTGCTCCATTTTCTCACTGAGCAGCCGGTCGTCGCGCTCGCTGACTGCGCGAGCCGCCTCCTTAACCACCAGCTTGCCACGGTTGGACTCGATCGACTTCTGGCATGCCTCGCAGGCTGGTTGGTTGATACGCACGACGTCCGATGGGTTGGTATAGGTGTGGGGTGGTGGTGACTGGTTGTTAAGAACTTCAAATTTGTGCAAGGCACCAATGCACCCGCAAGCATGCGGATAAGGCGCATGCCAGGGATCACGGGCATTGCACCTGTGCCGCTCTCTCATTCAAATCCGTCATTCAAGAGAGTGCAAAGGCTTTAATTTACCAATCACCACTGCGGCTGTAGCCCTCCTCCAGCACATTCCCTCCAGCCTGAACGGCCAACAGCCATCCCACCGGCCCGGCAAGGATGAACCCCCTCCTCGGCACCACCCACCTGCCGTTAAGACTTCAATGCCCTTGTTCTTGTCCAATGTTTGCGTGGTGAGCACGTAGAGCGGCGGCGCGACGAGCTTCATCTTAACGGGGCACTCCTCCGTGCTCTGCGCCTCGGCCGCGCGGATGGCCACCTTAATATGCTCGATGCCATCGTACGTGAAACATGTCATCTCAACGTCCGCGCGGATTTTGAGTGGCTGAGGAGTCATGCGGCGCTTGATGTTCTTAAGCAGCGCCTCGCGAACCTGAAGTACCCCACGAGCGTGTGTGCACATCAAGGAAAAGGAATCAGAAGTTTGAAAGCCATATTGGAAATGGTAAATGCCTGATACGGCACAGCCCCGTGTAAGGGGTTCAATCCCAACAGCCTGCTAGGATACCCAGCCCGGATGCATCCTAAAACTGTCCTGGGCACAAAGCTAGGCGCATGGGGTGAGGATTGGGGTGGGATGTTGGAACAAGTCAAGCACAAAAGGTTCGTTCCCCAGAAATGTAATGCACATGCAAAGAGTCATCCATCGCATATTTACTGCATGCAACAACACTGTTTGCCATCAACCTGCAACACCGTTCTACTATGTAAAATAAATCCGTTCTTGGCGCCAAGAGTGCTTTAACATGATGCTGTTGCAAACGAGCCAGATATAGGACTCCTTTGAAATCCCATCGTCCAAAAACCTGTAACAAACATCACTACAGGGGCCAAAGCGCCTCACGCATTTCCGCGCACCTCAGGCGACAGCAGCGCCGCCGCTGTGGCGCCCTTCTCCTCCTCCAGCCGCTTGAAGATCGCGTCACCCTCGTCCGACACCATCGTCTTAAATGCATCAAATGCGTGCCCGTGCATGCGGTACAGCGGCCAGGCAATATTATCGTACAGCGCCTCCAAATCTTGCCCTGTCGTCTCCGCCACGTGGCGCATGATGGAGTGCACCTAGAGGAGGAAGTGGCAACCGTCGAGGAGAAATGAATATCCCATGATAATGGCGGATCCACAAAAACAATGTACAGATTGGCTATATGGATTCAGAACCTTATGCATGACGCAATTGGCAGAGGAAACGCCGAAACGACCGGAATGGCTGTATACCGCAGAGGCAAGGGTAGGTGCGAAAGGCGCGATAGAAGTGCAAGGGTAACAGCTACGTTCATCTGCGCACGAAGTCCAATCAGCGCAGGCGCCCCATGATTCCTGTTGACGATGGGGAAACAAGAGGCCGACGCGCAGCAGCCGGGGCGCCGCGGTGGCTGCTGTAAGGCCGCCATTCATTCCAAACGCCTTGAGCCACCATCCGTCCAAAGGGAGCTCTGCTGCCATCAACACAGCCGTGCGGCGAAGTACGGTGTCAGCTCTGTCCCTGTCGAACGGGCAGCTGGGTTGGCTGGCCAATTCAGCAAAGCGCCGCTGAAGGTAGCAGGCGGCCAGTTTACCCGGTTCCCCCAAGATTGCTGGTCCCAATCGCCAGATTTTCCTGTTGGTCTTCAGCAAGCAAACACGTCGCCATGCCGACTATTGCTCGCAGCGCGCATCATCACCACTGACGTTGGGACAAGTCAGCGCTCCGCAAGCTCCCAGGAAGGTTACGCCCGATCGCTGTTGCATTGCTGCCCCTCCACTGGTTCAGCTGTGCTGAGGCACAACCAGGCAACGTGCTTTGGCCAGTTCGCCTTAACCACACTTCACGCGGCCCCAACCCCATCCCTTCCTCCCCACCAGCGCACACTGACAATCTGGACCCACCAGTTTGGACTTGTTGTATCTTTCCTCGCACTTTTGCACGTCCTCAGGTGACACACGCCTGGCGTGGAAGGCGCATACCTGAGTGCCAGCTAGTCAGCGTGTCAAAAATCACGGCAGTTAGGGTAAAGCCTACCTTTTTGACAGATCGATGTACCCCTTCTCTTTATCCACACGAAGAACCATCACAGGTTCTTGCCGGCCAACCTGTCAAGGACAGAGAGCTTATCATACCATACCAGCCGCCACGACCCGCGTCTAATTCGGAATCATCCCCATTGAAGCAATATGACTCCCAGATATGTCACCTTAATAAGCTTTGTGATCGAGCGGATGCGACGTCGCGAGAGTTCCGATAACAGGATCATTCCCTCAATCCCATTGTACTCCAGCAAAGACACGTACGCGCCCATCTCCGCTATCAATTTTACCTACATGTCGAAGCATTCTGTTCAGGTAGTCCAAAGATCGCTTTTTTGGCGCCTGCCTACCTGCACCATTACTACATCGTCGACCTCAGGATATTTGGCTTCATACATGCGACAATCCTGATGCTGAGCCATGTTTTGTAGCCTTGTTGTTGAGTGCTAAGGCTAAAGCTAAGCTTCAATTGTACCCGCCGCAATGGAACTCTTAAAGTATGGGGTCGAATTCAGCAAGATTTTCAATTCCCTGTTGCAAACAGAGACAGTCACATTTAAGAGAACGTTTTCTCGGTGCAGATCAGGTGCATAACCTGGACCCGTGTACAGCACGTACGGAAGCACTCTTCCTATACCATGTATAACCCACGCCCAGCTTTTTTAAAAGTTGGTGTGGGGAAAGACGATCGGGAGGGGCGTGTACGTCTTTCAGCTTCCAAACCACATCGGCATTTCTCGTTTAGCACATCGTAAGCTAATGCAGTTTCGTTTATGTTGCTGGGCTTTGGAGGCAAACAGAGCACGAAGGGGCAAGTACCATTTCCCCAGGGGGCAGCGGTTCTGCCACTGTTGTGGTACTAATAGCCGAATCGAGGATGGAAAACACGTGTTATTGGAATGCCCAGCCTATAATGATATTCGTGCTGAAGAGGGATTCGATCATCAACAGAGCATGTTGGAGGCCATGAAATGGGAACCCGCACGTCTTGCGAGGATGTTGGAACGTATGTGGGCTCACCGAAACTCAATTACCCCCTTTGGACGCTAGTTTGGGCTGATGTGCGGTGTTTTCCTTGGCTTTTAGGCGTTGTAGTACTGCCATTGGGCCTTCGGCTCGTATGGGTAGTAGTCTTACAGGTATGGGGTCACGCACCCCCAACCATGTAACAGACACACAGACAGACATCGGCATGTGTATGAAAACTAGATGAAGACAACGAGGCTAGCTCTTCCCCATCCGCAGTCGTTAAGTATTCCTGATAAGCCCGCCTTGCGTCGTTCCTGTTTTCAGCTTCCCTTAGCGAGTGCTATACGCTCCCTGCGTGCCAGAATGTAGGATTGTAGATATAGTGGTCTTTACATGAGGTATGGCCTCTCAAAACATTAGCAAACAGCTGAACCCGCTTTTCAAACACTGCTGTCGCTAGAAGGACACTTCCAGCAGGGCCAGTATGGATCAGCGCAGCGCACACCCTTCAGCTTGTCGCTGGCTATTACCCACGGGCCAGTGCCCTCCGCGTAAAACAATCATGTTGTCCACTCAATGCGCTCATTACGAATTACGACTGCTATGAGACTGGTTGCAGTCTTCAATCATAGGAAGCCCGAAACAAGAATATGCCATTAAAAAGCAATGACCCGTCAAACGCGCACATCTCCGTCCCGAAAAGTTCCAAGTTCATGCATCGTGGCAACCCACGAGCCGCCTGTCACGGTCACCTCCAGGTGGGGAAATGGACCCAAATGGACAGCTGAGATTGCCTGCTGCATCCTATTGTTAGTGAACGTCCTACGGTGTTTACAAATACCCAACCCACATAAATCAACGCACGCACATGCTCATGCGAGCTCTACCCCCCAACACTGCAGCAAAAAAGTCCCCTGCCCGCTAGAGGCCCGTATACGGGGTCCCTGACACGCCCGCAATTCCGTTATGCCCTGCACAGCAGTCCGGTCTAGGCAGCATGACTAGATCATCATCGGATATCAGATGCATAACCGTGCTTTCTCAGCCAACAGCCCAACTCCTGCAAGAGCGTAACGTATTTTCTCCCCCCAACCCCGTTGGTTAAAATCCCTCATCAAGCCGCTATTTGCTCTTGACCTGGGTGAAAAGGACACCAGCTCCAAGTCCGATAACAATGCTGGTAAGATTCTTTGGGTTGGTTGGTTCGGCAAAGGCCAAGAGACCGACAATTGCAACCGGAATCTTGTTCAGCGCGCCCACAAGACTGTAGATCGTCGCTGTTGTCTGCGAGAGATACCACAGGCTACTGAAGGAGATTGCGAAGCCAATGATGCCGCCGAGAGCAGAAACCAAAAGGAATGCTGAGTTACGAAGGGCCTCCTGCTCCAGGAGCCCCTTGAACTCTCCAAAGTACCACATCATCAAAAGGATCGGCGGCACAGACAGCAAGTTATTGTAGTACACCTGCGAAGTATGCCAAGATCGCACAGATGAGCACGGCGAGACGAACAAGGTTAGCAGCGTTACGTCAACTCAAGCGGAATAACGTAATGCAGCGCAGGCAACGGCCAACTATCACAGTCCCAAGCTTTCCCATTACAAAACGCCTCCTTTCAAAATTGATCACACCCATGGCTCACCATGCTGAACTCGTCCATCTGTGCATGATGTAGCCGAGGAGGGGTTGCCCAGGTGAATCAAATACAAAACGAATGCGACGGGCAGCGGGGTGGGCACAGGATGTTTAAGGGTGGACGACCTAAAGCTCAAGGGTGAGCATGCTGCTGCTGTGTCAGGTTGCAACGTCATCTACCACGGAATCTTGCCATACGCAATTACTAAAGACACGCGTATGGTCACGACATGTAGCAAATCCGGCATCACAACAAGCTTTGTGCATATTTAAAGAGGGCGGACATCTAGATAAATTGAATAAATACAGGAACAACGAATCCGATGCAACAGCGTTGCAGCGCGGTGGGCGCAACCCTACGTTCCTTTTTACAGACGAAAGTCCCCCTACCTTCTGCTTGTTAGTTGTATGCTCCGCCACTTTGTCCATTACGCTGCGAAGGTAGAGTGCGTATGCTGACGTGAAGACGCAGTTAGCCATTTGCCAGGAGTACCCACTCCACGTGAACCGGGCATCCGTTGAGGCGCCAGCAACGGCCGACACCAGCATAAGTCCTAGGCAACCCCAGACCTGCCATGAGAATGTCCGTTTGTAGATAAAGACGTCCCCCATTGCTGCAAGCGTGGAAAGGGAGCAGTAAGAATGGTGGTCACGTAGAACGAACGAGGGGAAACGGTTCTGTCTGGGTCTGAGAACACGTTGCAGAGACATCCCTCGAAAGCTGTCGAACAAGTAAGATTGCAAAGTTGCCCGTTCATAATAGCTATGGCAGCCACAAATCGTCAAATTATTGATATTAACAAGGTTCCGGCCTGAAACCCACTCAGGCAGGACTTATTCCAGCATTTGCACTGCAAACTACGTCCAATGTCCTGAAGTCTAGCCAGGAAACACACCTGTCATACCAGGAAACGTACCTGTCACAACATTGCTTAGGTTTTTCCAGACGGTCACCATGCCAACTCCGACCTCCTTTAGCGCATAGAAGCTGGTGCCGATCATGCCCACAAAGATAAGGTTCACCGGGAACCAAACCATCACAAGATCTTTCCTAAGAGGTTGCAGCTTGACCAAGCCAAATAATTCGCAAGACTTAACCAGCGTCGCTGCGAGGAGGCACTGAAAGCACAATAGGGCTGTGGGCGCCGTAAACCCAAAAGAAGCCAGCGCGTGCTTGTTCAGGAGGACCATGGAGCCGGACGCACAGCAGTAGCAAAGGCCCGCCACGAGTACACTTGGCAGACCGCATGTCAATTTTGGTTGCACCGGCGGTGTTGCCGCGATCGGCTTTTGCTGTTGCGCGACCAGCGGCTGAGCCTCCTCATCATTTTGGTTTGACATGGCGGATGATTTGTTGTAAGTCCGACGCAAACCCCACATGCGACGACAAGGAAAAGGGGCTGCCCCGAAGGGCTACGCTGGGCTTTGACCAGAACCTAGACTAGAATCTGCCAGAAATCAACACATTAGCACGTTAATTATAATTGGAATGCTCTTTGGCGCTCTGGGCATATCTTTTCACATCAATTACAACTTCGCCTGTTCCGTACAAACCGTTAAAATTGCAGTTAGTCAGTCAGTGTGTTCTTGTTTGATTTGCTCTGAACTGTACAGATGTACGTATGCAAGGTTGGCCGCAGTAACGCGGAATCCACATGCTGGACTAATCCTGTGTGTGAAAGCATAGCTCTTTGCACGAGCTTTCTGGCTGTATTTTGGCGCGATGCAAGAGAAGCTTAACAAGAAAGAGCCAATCATGTATCCATCCACTTTGCGCCATGCTTGAATATCGAGCTGGGTCATATCGTGGCCAACGCCTCAGGAACGGGTTTTGCGCGAGCTGAGCCTTATTTCGACATAGCAGTGCGGTGGCCATTTTTGGAGTGACCGCATCAATCAAGCGATTTTCATTTCAACGCATTAATCAGGCACTCCCATTTTTAACCATGCACCAAGAGCCGCTCACGGCATATTTCCCAAGCGCACGGTCAACCCCCGCCGCTGCCCCAGCACCCACGCCAGCCACCTGTCGCAGACCCTTAGACATTTTGGAAGAGTACTGGGGCTACTCTCAATTTCGCTTCTGCCAAGAACAGGTCATCAACAACATTCTTGAAGGGAACGACTGCCTTGTGGTCATGCCGACGGGCGGAGGGAAAAGCATCTGCTACCAGGTAATCTGCACCGCCTTTCGCGCAGTCCACTGCACTGCAGCCTCCACGCTCAAGTAAGAGCTCCTTGGCATATATGTAAAACCGAAAGCTGGGGAAGCTTGGGTCGCGGCGCGCGGCATGTTCCTGTGCTCTTTACTTTTCCCTCGCTCTGGCAGTCCAATTTGCATCTTAATTTTTGTCGTTCTGATCCTGGTCTCCGTAGCCCGTGGCTCGGATTCTGGTCTCCGCAGTCCCTTCCCTTCAATCCTGCACAACTCCGCGTGTCCGCATTCCTTCATCAAACCATCATGACCACGTTCCGTCCATGCTTTGTGCCACAGCTAAGCTGAGCTGGGAAGAACGCGCAGGCGTGAAGCAAGAAGGAAAGACAAAAGCCAGCAAACCCAATGCGTGTAGGAAAGGGGACAAAAGCCAGCAAACCCACTTCGAGTAATGCTCGCTAGCCTTGTGCGGGCGGCCCTTCCCTTTCGTACTCAAGTCTTGCTGTATTCCCTGCGTGTCGGTATCCCTGGCTTCTAGATCCCGCCGCTGGTTCTGGATCGCGTCTGTATCGTTGTGTCACCGCTGATCAGTCTGATGGAGGATCAAGTGGCCGCACTCAACGCCCGACGCCTTTCCGCTGCGTTTCTTGGCAGCGCACAGAACAGCAGGTGAATGAATGAATGGATGAATGATCCGGTTGGCACAATGGGGGCCTTGGGAAACAGAAGCCGGACATGGTTGGGTTGCTTGGCCCCCGAGGGAATGTGAGAAGGAAAACATGCGGGTCTTGCGAAGGCACGAATCCACAAATTTGGGTTGCAAGCTGGAACGAAAAAAAAATCAAAAAATGCATAGTTTGACCTGTTTTACGTAAGCTTGTGTGATTGTGATTTGTGTGAGAGTGTGAGTGTGTCTCTCAGAAATATTTGTCTATGCGATGTAGCCTTTAATAGTCTTCAATGGAGTGATACAGTGATACCCTGGGAGGGCTTTCCGCCGCGCGCGGCCGACTCAGCGTTCCGGGGAAAACCCCCGTTCGATCCCCGTTCGTCGCGCCAGGCAAGTCAAGGACGACGCCTGGACTGGTAAATACCAATTCCTGTATCTCACGCCGGAGCTGGCGACCAGCTCTGGACCCGCCTTGGCGTCGCTACACAAGCGGCGAGGTATTGCACTGGTAGCGGTGAGTTTTGAGTCAGGCTATGCTATGTGGCAAGGGAATCAAGGCGGGGTTCTGGAGCTGGTTGAGCACTCGCCAGGGCGCTCGGAACTAGGAAATCGAGGCACGGGTGTTAAAACGACACGTGATGTTTCGCGGAGTTCGCGGATTGTGATCACGCGATCGTGACGACGAGAGCATGTGTTATTTGGTAGCGCACGAGGAGGGCAGGAGGACTTGTAGATGAGCTGTGCGGTAATGTAGTAGCTGGCCGCTGAAAAGGCCTCTCGAGATGCTTGGTGGTATTGCGCTTCGCGCGTATTTGTAGAGCCGTACAGTGTGTCAGCTACGACAGGTAAGGAACACCTCTGGGTCTGTCGGCACTGGAAGCGGCTATGGAAGCGTCGCGATGGGTGTTATGAGGATGATGGAGGGGTAGGGTTTTATTTTTCGGTACAATGTTGACGTGCCAGCATTCCCACCATGTGTGCGCCTTTTTTTCCTCCAAAACTCATTGAGACCCATTTGGGTCACGTGAAGCGTGTGGACGAGCGCGTGTTGGGTAGAGGTGCTCGGCACTGTGCTTTGAATCCATATGGATCCAATCCGGATCTTGCTCCACAGGATGTTAACGAACGCAACGGCCAACTGACTAACCGACTGCCCCTTCACCGCCTTTCCCCTGTGGTCACTGCTGCCTCGCCGCCACCCGTAGATCGACGAAGCTCGTAAGTACGGCAGTACGGTGTACGATTGTACGTCAGCGGGGGTGAATGGACCTGCTGGTGTCGCGCGAAGCTGTAGGGGCTCGGCTTATCTCTATACGGGGTGTTCTCGCCAGTCGCCGTTTCTCGAACTTTCTGCCATTGTGAACTCAAACCGCCCCCTAGCTAAGCGGTCGATCTCTCGGGACTCCTAGACAACAACAGCGAAAACCTTGCCCCATGCCTGTCTTACCTCTCGCTTCTAGTTCTAGTTCATGGGGCTGATGATGTGGATATGTTTATCCGCGCAACCCGCAATTTTCCCTTCTTCACATACACCCCTCACGCCCGTAACTCCCTGCCACACACACACCCACTCCCGCCCACTCCCCCTCCCACTCCCCCTCCCACACTTCCGCCCCACAAACTCCCTTCAAACACCAAACGGTCCGTCCAGATTGCGTGAGTGAATGGGGCCACGACTTTCGGTAAGAAGCCTCGTGCCTGTTTCACGTCTAAATGTATTCATGTCTCACGTTTTTAAATGTACGCTGCTTCGCCGGTCCGTTATCCCCCACCTCACCCGCGACCCGCCGTCTTCTCGTAATTGCACCATTTTCATCTCACGTGCCATAAGGCCCGACTCCGCTTCTGCGTCACGGCCGTTCGGGTTAAAATCATACCTCGTTACCCGCCTCGTCAACTCCGCATCGTCTTGCTGACGCATTTTGGGTTCTTTTCAGATCGGGGCCGTTCATGTGATTGCCCTTGTTCCGCCTCCTCCTCCTGCCCCATCCTTCCTGCTCGCGCTTCAGCTGCTGTCAAAGTCCGCTTGGCCGCTTCCCTCCTCGTCCCTCAACTTTCCGAATATAAGGCCTGACTACCGGCGTCTCGGTACGTTGCGGGACGCCCTCCCTGGAGTGCCTATCGTCGCGCTCACAGCTACCGCCACCCCCCGTGTACGAGAGGACATTGTACGGAACCTGGGCATGCACCGGGGTGCGGGGTGAGTGAGGGGGACGACTGGGGGACGCGTGTGTGTATGTGCGTGTGTCTTTGTGTAAAAGGTTTTTGCATGCGTGCGTGTATGTGCGTGTGTATGTGTATGTGTATGTTCACATGTACGTGGGATTCCCAGACGCGAGCTTGCGGGTAAGCGATTGAAAAATTATTACATTATTACGGCACACGTAACCACGTCAAGGGCATGGGGACGCCAAAGGGCGTCACGATTGATAAGTCGGAAGGAAAGGAAAGCGCGCTTCTCTTTCTCCTCTGTTGTCTTCACAGCCACTGCTCCTATAAACCTCCTGTTTTTCGTCCATTCTCTATGGCCACCCTTTCTGGCTCGTTCACCACCAAATGCTCCCCGAGCCAGGGCCCTATGTACGGAAGCGCAAGTCAAACTTTGACAAAACCCTATAAAGCGGCAAAACCCAGACCCGCGTTGTGCCACCCGCTGCGACTCCCCTTCTCCTTGATGTTCATACTTAAAAACCGACAACCGACAACCAACACGTGTGAGTCGCCGATCAGGCGCTTTGTGGAGTCCTTTGAGCGCACCAACTTGCACTTCGCTGTACGACAGAAGACCTCCGTGGCAGAGGCGGCTTCGGAGCTGAAGGAGGCAGCAGCGAGGAACAGAGGCCAGGTCGGTGGTAATGGGGGCCGGGGGGACAGTTGCGAGGCTTTTTTGGGGTCAGAGAAAGGTGGTGGTTGAAGGATGGGTGTTTTAGGAACCACGTCTATGTAGGAAAAAGAACTGCGATGCCATTCGGAGATGTGGGCGTTTGGGGTGTCTTGGGCATGAGGCGTGAGTTGTGTCCTTGGTGTGGTGGCAAGTGGTCAAGTGCCCTGCAGCATTGCGGCAGAGTGGGGTTGTGGCGCCCTACAGGTCGCGGCAAACGTGAAGCTGGAAAGGAAAAAAGAGGAAGAGGACGGCCGGGATTTTCGGGACCTAGTTACGTGTTATGTGTTATAGCCATATGCTGGCTGTTGAAAGCAGCCACGCCATTTAAACATCACATATACGATATCCCACTGGGTCTGCAGCGTGGCGGCGTTAAGAGATGTAAGCCGCTAGCGCTGGCCGTATTGCAGGTGCCCTCCACGCTCATTTACGCATTGACTACGAAGGAGGTTGACGAGATCGCGACATACCTTAACCAACCCACGGTAGGTTCGCGGTCAGGAAGAAAGGGGAAGGGGGAAGTGGGCGGATTCGGTAATAGACAGGTTGAAATTTTAGGTGCGGTTCGGGCTGGGTGGGCAGTTTCGAGTGGGGGGAAAGTGGCGGGCAGGGGTCGGTGGGGTCGGTGGGTGGGCGCTGGGCGAGTTGGACAGGGTCCTAAAGGCTAATGAAACGCGTGCTGGCTTTGATGAATACGTGTCTCTTTTTTTATTATGGGATCATACTTTAGGCCCGTTTGAAAGAACTGCTAAAGCGTTCGGAGAAGCAAAGGCGTTATTTTTGGATCCGATAAAGTAGTTATGGCGCATGCTAAAAAATGAGGGCGCCCTCGCTTGTTTGTTAGTTTGATTGTTATGGAATTGGAGAAAAGTTGAGCGTTAATTTTTTCCTGCTATCCGCCAATTTTGCGACTTCTTTGGGGCTGAGTCTTCGTTTCTGGAAAGCCACATGTTTCGCCGTTTTGGCCGTTGCGTTGACTATGTCAGCACGTGCTGCAAGGTCGGGCACGCCGTTTTATCGTTTCGACTCTTCCGCCACGCACGTCCTTCCTCAGTCTGGAACTGATTTCCTTACCGGCGGCGAAGGTGCTTGGGGGGTTTTCGCTTAGGAGAATTTTTATGGGGTCTTCGGAAATTTTCGAGTTCTCCGTCACCGCGCAGCAGGAATATTGTCAGCCCATTGTTACAGCTTACCTTCTTATCCACATGCGCTAAAGCGAACGTCCTAAAATTTCGTTGTGGAGGTTTTCTGCGCGGAGGTGGCAATCCAGTAAAGCGGATAGTTTGCATGACCACCATGCCCCGCCCACCATGCGCCGCGTTGCGCCTGCCAAAAAGCCTAATACAAATAATGCAATCTCTTCAAAAATATTTTGTTATACACATTATTTGTGTAAAGACGTCACTAGGACTAGCTCATCATGGACTGGTAGAGTCCGATAGATAAACGGATAACAATGAGATTAAATTTCCTTTCTGGGTCAAATATGGACATTGCTGGACACGCAAACCTCAGAAGCTGAGTCTGCTAATTGTTTTGTAGGTCGATCCCATGCTCAAAGTGTGCGTGCTCAGATTTTGCAGAACCTAGGATTAACATTAAGGTGCGCTGCACCTCTTTTCAAAGTTTACGCTTGCGCAAATGTGAAATAAAGCCTTGGAAAAAAACTGGAAAGGAATATTGCGTAGAGTTGAACATTTTGTTACGGCGGAGCCTCACCCGGGGGTCGACCGTTGTCCCCACCTATTGACCTGTGTCCCTGCCTAGCGACTCCTGACCTCTTCTAGCGACCCCTGGCAACCCCTGGCGGCCATTGTGCCCTCCTAACTGCCGCTGTCCCCTCCTATCCTGCGAGCCTGATTTCCTTCGCATCCCGACCATTTCCCATCTATGCATAACTGAGCGTCGCTAGCATAAATGCTGCGAAAGCGCAAACAGTATAGGCGGCGTTGTATAGAATAGATCTCAATGCGCTGCAACATTTGGGAAAGGTATGAGCACTTAAAGACATGGTTAAGCAGGATCTTCCAAAATACAGTCTCTGGTCCTCGCACTTTCTGTCTCCACGGTACTTTCTCTGTCCGCGTGCCAACTAGCTCTAGGAACCTTGGCAAACATATTTCGGCACGCAGTAGACCCGGCTAAGCCTATTCTCAAACCTTCTACTGCTTCCGCAGCCCAAGGGAAGCGGTGGCAAAGCTAGTATGTTGTTTCGTAAGAGTTAGGAAAGCACAATAGAATAAATGTTGAATCCCTTCACCTGCCGACATCGGCAAGCGCTGGGATTCGCCATCGCTGCCAAAAATGCAACAGTGACTAGAATACTAGGGCTCGTTGCTATAAGACACAAGAATCCTAATCCTTCCAAGATTGTTTACAGGCGCCCGAACAAATGTCACCTCGCATACAATACTTCAGCGTTTAATAAGTTGAAAACGGAATTATATCAGTGCCCGCGCGTACTAATTTACTACACAAAAAGCTTACCGTCAATGGGTGAAAGAGTCAATTGACAGATATGCCACGACACTGTGCCGGGTGTACGGCACGCAAAGTCACTTCCCGATCGGCAGCCTTAACCCAAAATTTTCCTAGGGGTTGGAAAAATGGGAGCAGGCTGCGATGTATCGCCTGAGAAAGTACTGGTCGCCGTGAGTTCTCCTTACAGTTCGTTTCGGAGGAAAGGGGGAGCTAGGTTGAATAGCAGCTGGAGGCTGTCTGGCAGCTGACCCCGCAGTAAGGCCTAGTGAGCCACGACAACTCAACGGACGCACGCGCTGGCCGGGATTGTCAACTTACGGTTTGCGAGAGGCGAAGCAGGGGTTCTCAAAGGCCGGAGGGCTGCCGGAGGGCTCCAGAACATGGGAAACCAAAACCCTTTATTCCCCCCCTCTTAATCCCTCTGTCCGTCGCTATCGATGCCCCGTTTACCTTCTCTGATGTACGAGCGACAGCTGAAATTGCACATAGAAAGCCCGAGTAAAGCGTCGCATCTGCTTGTTTCCGGCACACAGCGCGCTTCAATACGCCTCAGGGGATTCCAGCAGCACGCCATCGGGCTCTCTGGGCCTTACCTGAGCGCCGTACTTCTAGTTTTACTGTAAACCTTTAACACACCTGCCGTCATCAGGATTTTGTTCAACTCATACGGCTTAGCCTTGCTGTTGCTGTTGCGAAGGTCAAAACACCATAGCCACTCTACTGCCTCTAAAATTGTGATATGCCGCGATTGCCATCGCTTCCTCGTGTGGTCAGGTTTTGAATGGACGGGCGGGCAGGTACCACGCCAAGATGACGCCCAAGGAGCGCAGAGAGGTCAGGATTCGATCTCGGGACTTCAATGCTGATTGGAAATTTCATTGAATTACCTTGAACGATCACCGATCACTGATCATCAATCGTATCGACCTTCGTGGCCACAGGGAATATACGCACACAGGCGTGTACACACGCATGCGAATATATACACACTTGCAGATGGGAACGTTGGACGTTACCTACTCCCTGCTGTACAACTGTACCGTGCCATCTCGCAGGCTCACACGGCGTTCATGCGAGACGACTTGGACGTGCTCGTCGCGTCGGTTGCGTACGGCAAGTGTTTCGCGTGATGGTCAGCTAGGTAGTAGTTGAGCCGTGCGCGTACAGTGGCGGCGGTGATGTGAAATTGTATAAGATGGGTAAAAATGGAAATAAAACTAAAAGCGAGAAAAACAGCTTGAAGTGTTGATGTATGTTGATGATATGATGCAAAATAAATTTAAAAAAAAACGTGATCTTTAGTTTGAATCCAACTTTCTCCTCCGTCTCACGTTATCAACATCTTGCTTGGGGATGGCGGAGCGCACTTCACTTCTCCCCCACGCGATGTGGGTCAGATCGGGCCACCCCCCGCGGGTCACTTTACCCCCCTCAACCCCCCCTCAACCCCAACCCACCCTCTTGCCCTGGCAGCAGCTTCACTCGTTCGTGGTTCATCTTTCTCCCCCCCTCACCCTCACCCTCACCCTCACCCTCACCCTCACCCTCACACCCACAGGTATGGGTATCGACAAGCCCAACATCCGCACCATCCTGCACTGGGGCTGCCCCGCTTCTGTGGAAGCCTACTACCAACAAGCCGGCAGGGCGGGACGAGATGGCGCCAAATCCAGGTGATACACATTAAACACCGGCGCCGGCGCCGGCGCCGGCCAAAGTTGCAAACTGTCGCCGCCATTGTCGCAACCTATGTGATGATGTGCACCTTTGGAGAGTCCAGCAACATCAGCATCGCAACTTTGAATGCAGTCGGGTTTTTCACCTTCGGGTTCTTCACCACTCGACTCTGCTGCATGTGGTGCACCCTTCCCTCCCCCTTTTTTCCCCCTCTTCGTCCCGACCGCGTTTTGTCTCTCGCTGAATTCGAAGGTGTTTGTTGTTATGGAGCTCGGGGGACTTCATCACCCTGGCCCGGATCAAGGAGGCTGAGGGGATGAGCGCGGAGGGCCGGGCGGCAGTGCAGGAGGCCATGGCAAAAATGCAGGTAGGTACGGCAGCAGCGGCAGCACCTACAGCCACAGCCAGAGTCAACCAAGTCAGTGAAGTATCGTAACGTTTCGAGGTAGCTCTAGTACCGAATCCGTGTTTTGATTCCATTGCCCTTCTTCCAAATGTCGTACCAGCCTGGTGGTGGTTCAGACAGGAGGGTTGCTGGCGCGACCCCTCGCCCCGCGTTTTGCAGGAGCAAAGGAGGCCATGCACGAACCCATGCCAGGTGCCGTACCGCACCAGTGGTGCCTGGTCGTACAGCGCACCTTCACTGCATCCGGAAGTGGGGTTGCAGGGAATGCATGCACAAAGCCGAACTGAGCCGCACTGAGCTGCACTGAGCCGCACTGAGCCGCACTGAAACGCTGCGTTGCGTCATCAACGGCAAGAAGACAAGATTGCATTTCAGGGCGCCCTGGGCGCTCCTTCTGTCGAGTTGCTGGAGTCTAATGAAGTTGAGAAGTACTGCTCGTCCCATCTCGTCCCATCTCGTCCCGTCTCGTCCCATCTGGTCCCGTGCAGGCGTACTGCCATTCCACGGGCTGCCGTCACGCCCAGCTTGTCAACTTCTTCACCGCGGGAACACTGCCGCTGCAGGTATAATAACCAAACCGCAGCTTGCTATGTCTGTCTATATGTCTGTCTGTGTCTGTATCTGTCTGTCTGTCTGTCTGTCTGTGTGTGTTTGTGTGTGTGTGTGTGTGTGTGTGTGTGTGTGTGTGTGTGTGTGTGTGTGTGTGTGTGTGTGTGTGTGTGTGTGTGTGCAGCTGCGGGCATCAATAGGAGAGGAGACCCAGCTGTCGTTCCCAACTACGCCACGTCACACGATTGCTCTTTACGACACCAAATTCCCGCTCCCCACTCTCCTCACTACAATTCGTTATAGGCTTTATCCTTCTCCTCCTCCTCCTCCTCCTCCTTCCCGATTTCCCACCGGCTATCAACTAAACTAACATGTTCAACCGCCTCCATTATACCACCGCAGGGCCCGTGTCGAGGCGGCTGTGACGTGTGTGACCGGAGGGCCAGTGGCGACATCACCTCCCGGAATATCGCCAGCGAGGTGGGGGGCAAGCGAAGGGGGGGGGGCTGGTGCGCGGATGGTACGACGACAGACGTGGACACCCTCGTATGTGTGTCTGTATGTGTGTCTGTATGTGTATCTGTATGCGTGTCTGTGTGTCTCTGTGCGTGTGTCTGTATGTGTGTCTGTATGTGTGTCTGTATGTGTGTCTGTATGTGTGTCTGTATGTGTGTCTGTATGTGTGTCTGTATGTGTGTCTGTATGTGTGTCTGTATGTGTGTCTGTATGTGTGTATCTGTATGTGTCTGTGTGTGTTATAACGAACCCCCCCTCTGCTGCCCTGTCTACCTC